TCTTCAGTATTATATCCTCTGTTTTGAGGAAAAAACACATGAATGTTGCTCTTGCTCTGTAGCTACTGTTAAGACCCACCACAGAGATGGGATAACTGAGATTCTTTTTAATATATCCCTTGGGGCAGAATAGAGTGAATATATAAGAGTGTGTGTTTGGAGGTATGTGTATTTTAGAACAATTTGGTTGCAATAGAAATGTAGCCATTTTGGTTATTATCTATAGTAATATGACATTATAAAAGCATGAAAATATCACTGAAGAAAATATACAAGGAAGAAAAAGAAATTATAAGAGTAGCTAGCAGATAGAAAAGATATCACCACCCATTATTTTTGCACTTCAGGAGTACTTTGCACTTCTGATGTCCATTGGTTCAAGTGATGGTCAAGTCTTGATCCATCAGGGGTGGGGGAAGCCATGAAACAAACACTTCAAGGGCTAAGGTGGAATGCTTAGGTTCAGGTGGAAATGCCCAGGTACCTACCCTATGGGGGGAAGTTTAAACACTTCAGATCATGTGCAGTCCTCAACAAATGTGGTCACAGCACTAAGCCTGACAGAGTTCAAGAAGTGTTTGGGCAATGCTGTCAAGCACATGGTGTGATCCTTGGGGATGGTGCTGTGCAGGCCTAAGAGGTGATCTTCATGATCCTTTGGGTCCTTTCCAACTCAGTATATTCTTTGATTCTGCAATTTGAAATAAGAGATAGGTGTAGTTGTATAGATACATTCAGTGATAGCTATCTGATAGAAGCTCTTTTTGAGGTTGACTTAAGTACAACAAAATATAAACTCCAGATTGTGTAAGGATTTCCAAAGTCAGGTCACTGCTGGGTAGAGAAGTCCTAACGCACTCCAGGAAGCTTTGGAAAGCAGCTTCTTAATAAGGCACTCTGGAAGAAGTCAGCAAAGCTTTGCAGAATAAACTTTGACTATTAAAAGCTATTGAACATAATTAAGGGAGCCAAAAGGATTTAAAAGGATTCACATCCAGAATTTTATCAGACTTGTGAAACATGGGAAAGCCTTGAGTAAGGTGGATTCAGAGGACAAATACTACAAAACTGAATTTTCTAAAGGATTACTTCCAGAAACATTATGGCTTTGTATCTGTTCCACTCAAATATAAAAGATTGCTCACTGTTTCAGGGTATTAGAGTACAGATGATTTATGTGTAACCTAGGTGTATTTTCAAAGATATTCCACAGCCAATGTCTTAAAATAGCTACCACTGGTACCATGGCAACACAGGAAAACACTTCCAAGCAACAGATCAAAAAGCTTAATTTCTTTCCCAAGGCATCTTTAGATATTGCTGCATAGGGAACCCTTCCATGTATTTGTGACACAGCTAACTAGTCACTAAACCCCAGATGTTTTCTATAAAAAGTGATTCTGAAAAAAATATGAAATTTGAAAAAATACTAACAAGGTAAGCTTTACCGATGCTAAATGAAAGTATTACCTATTGAAATTATTATGGTATTTTTCATTAATTAATGTAGCAAGAATATATTAAAACCTGAAACCATCTTACATTTGTATTTTTCTCAGTGTGTAGAAATTACACAATTAAAATTGAGAATGCCAAAGTTTTAATGCACGTAATTAAAACATACTCTAGGTTTGGGTTTTGGAAATTATTTTGGTGACAGCTAATTCTGTTTCCTGGAATTAGAGAGCATTTTTCTTCCCCACTACCCTCTGCTTCCCCCAGCAAAATACTGCTTGTTCAGGGGACTTTTTTTGAAAAATACAAATTCAAGGAACAGTGAATTACATGGCCAAGGAATATTTAGTCTTTCCCATGAAGGCAAAACGCAATTTAGTAGTTATCTGTTCTGTTTGGAATAACAGAAGTAGACTGAAAATCTACAATGTTGTGGAAGGTGGAGGCTATGGAGGATCTGAAAAAGGTTATTTGTGTTTTAGTACTGCTTTGATGTAGTTCACAATATATACAAGGAAGCAAAGTAGGGTGTATGTGAAAAAAAAAATGACGAGGGTAATAAAGATTAATTTCCACTGAAAAATCTCAGAAGGAAAAAATGCCATTTTGATCAATTGAATTACATAATCAGCCAAATGCAGCCATTATGTTTAGGGTTGGGATTCCAAGATTCCCACAAAGCCTACAGCTCCAGGGACACCAGGGCTGGAAAAGGCATGCCAAGAGGAACATGATGCTGCACCAACATTTTTGCCTTCACACCTTTCTGATCTGGCTCATCCCATGGGACTTAAGTCAGGCTTATTTTTCCCAGTAATGTTAAAGATTGTTGGCCCTGTTGTTTTATAAAGACCATATTTTACTGTAAAGCTTTTTGAAGTAAAATTTTAATATTAGCACACTAATATTATTCTTAGAGATGACAATCTATGGACAGTGTACTATTAAAGGTATTGGAGAACCTTGTCCCATTCTCCTGAACTTCCTTGTCATCATTTGTGCACATACGGACACAAATGTGTCATCATTTGTGTACATACACATTGAGCTATATAAGATGTGCAATGTCAAATACATTCTCTTGAACTTCCTTGTCATCATTTGTTCACATGCAGAGTTAACAACTGTGAAAAGGATTTTACCTTTATCGTACTTGTATTGCCTTATATTTTTTTTTATAAATACCATATCAATTAAAAAATGCTTATGCTTTGTTGAGATATTTGCAGCATTTTATTAAATGTGTGATTCATTCTTTTTTAATAGTTGGGTTAGAGGTAAAGTCCTTGCTATTTAGCTAATATCTTCTGATATTAAACACCAGTATAGCTGCAGTTCAGCTCATCAAATGATTATGTAAAATTTCCCATTTTATTAACTGTTCATAGAAGGAACTCTGTCTGATTGTCTACTCTGTAGTGAATTATAATGTGAGTGCTTCATGCGCTGTTGGACACTTGAACTGTTTCCTGTGAAATGTTCCATGTAATACTTAAAATATACTTTAAATGTTTCTTGAATATTTTTTTGAGATTTATACAGTTTAGAACAGCTGTCGTGTTGTTAGATAGAAGCACAATAAGGTATTTAGTGAGCTATGTAACATTAAGTGTGTCTGAAATAGTTGCGGGCATTAAAAGAATTTCTAGTCTTTTAAAATGTAGCTTGTAAATATATGAACTTTATAGCAATATATTAATCCTAAAATTTTTTAAAGTGTGCTTAACAGCAGACTGGATGTGAAAAAATGAATAGAATTTAAAGCAATACTGTAGATGTGTGGTCAACTTTTGATTTATATGAAAACATTCTTTCTAACTTAAAGCATTAGTTTCCCTCTCTTTTTCTCCTACTTTACAGTTTCAATAATTTAAATTAAGATGGTGATTTGACTGATAATCTTCCAAAGATTACCTGAATTATGCATGAATACAGTGCACTGATACTGAGATTGTAGCTGTCAGGGTAGTAACTTTAACTTGAATGAATGATTAGTTTGCCTAGAGGACAAGGTATAAATTGGAAGGGATTTGCTTGAAAAGATCAAGGATTTAATCTTTCTAACTCGGTTTGCAAATTTTTATTTCAAAATATTTTAACAGTGATATTAGAAAGACATATATGAGAAACATACAATAGGAACCATGTCAGTCATTGTTCTCTTGCATTCAATAAGTTCTTACTGCCATCCTCGCAGCAGAAATATCCATATATTCTATGTACTCCATAATTAGACTTGAAGTTAATTAATATTTTAGAGCTTGTCATGAGGCACTTACAAATTCTTATTACATTCCTAGTGCTGAAACCACTTGCAATCTGGTCAAATTGCATCTTTATTTCTAAAAAATCTTCTTTCTCCTTCTACTAATAGTGCTAATAATTAAAATCCTATTCTTAAATCATGGCTCTCAAACCAGTATTTGGCCCCCAAGCGCCTCTGACGTTCCTCAGGGTTAAAAGGAGGGCAAAGTGTGATGTTGCCTGCAGAGGTTTCTTGCCTGCTTGCTGTTAGTCTCTAGTGGTCAGCTGAGACTGCGCACTTCTGCAGGAAAGCCAAAGGCTTTCCCTCCCTCCCATGAGTTGTAGGGAGGGTTCTTTTTTGGCTTTTTTTTTCTTTGCTTAACTTTTACAGAGTGAATTCTGCTTATATGTATATATCTCTGACTGTTGGTAAATTTTCTGATGTCCCCTCTTTTTAACCCCATTATATCATTTATTCTGAAATATGCCCCAGTCACCTTCCTGTGCTAAAAAGCCAGGATCTCTGCCAATTTGTATTTTTTTTTTAAGAAAGCAGTAAATCTTACTCACTGTTCTAAAAATCAGCTGACAATGTGTTAAAGAAAACTGTAAACTTTTAGAGTTTGTGTACATTTAGACATGACTATTAAGAACATTAAAGTAATCTCTGTAGCAGTTTTCCCACACTTGCATTTGTGTTAAATATGAATAATTGCCTTGTTATTCAAAATACAAATGATGCTGAAACTGAGAACAGATTGTGATGCAAATGCTTCTTGGTGTTTTGAAGAAACAGCAAGAGCCTTTGCAGCTGCTCTTTTCTGGAAAACAAACATTCTGCCTTACATCAGAATGTTGTTTCAGAATTGGGGTAAACAAATACATATTGTTCTGTGTGATATCTGAAAGATGTTTGGGAAGAAGACAGTGAGAAGTGGTACTGAAGCCTGGCTGCATGGAATCACTGCTTGGCTTACATCTTGTGATTCATGTCATGGTGTAGGTTGCCATGAGTATTTGCAAACTTTTCTCTTGTCCCTTTGACTGTTTTTTTCAGTGGACTTTTGTAAAGGACACTAACTTTAAAATTGTTTTGGAAAATGTGAAAAGACCAGAAATTCAGCATAAACCAAAAACATCTGTTATAGGGAAAACATGTTTTTTGTAGCACCACCACAAGTTCTGGTACTGTATGAGAACAGTTACGTGTTTCTACTATATTACCTCCTGTTCATCTTGCTCAATGCATTGTGTATTCTGTAAGAGGAAAAGCTGGGCCTTTTTTATCCTCCATATTGCAGAATGCCACGACCAAGTCTGGGGATTTCCTATGTGTCAGTACTTGAAGAACAAAGGCTGGTGCTGTGGTCGCAATGCTAGGATGTCAGCATGCTTGGTATGATTCCCCTTCCTTTCGTTTTCTACTGAGAGCTTTGTCCAGATGTTACAGGATTCATTGTTTTTGGCTGCTGATCCTGAAGCCATGACTTCAATCCAAGAATCTACAGGATAACATCATTAATGTTGTAAGCATGATGAATTATATATAAAAAAAATAGTATTGACCTTCCAGCTTTATATATTTTATACTTGCTGAAGGCATGAAAAAATGAGTATTGATAGAAATGTATTTTAAGAGTGGACAGAAAGGCCAAAACTTTGCTGAAACCTAAACAAGGTAAACCCTCAGGATAATAGTTCTTAGCCAAGGACTTAGTGAGAAACAAGGTAATTGTAGAAGGATTGCAATCAGTAACTCCCTCAATGCCCTCATGATTCATAATGTTGAATGTTCTAGCTGTTTAAAACCTGAACAACACTGCCTATTCCAAACATTGGAGGAGCTCTAAAAATCTATGTAGCTTAAGAGTCTGGAAACATCTTTTTAACATTCCACCAAGAGATAAAGTACTTTTAGAGACTTAGCCTCATCAAGATGGTATGATGAGCTGTTGTCTAATTTGAAAAAACAGGTACTGAAAATGTTTGCCACTGTTTGAGTTAAAAGACCACTATTCCTTCCCTCTATTATTTTTTAATTTATGGTATCCAGATAAATCACATCAGGTTGTGTCTAGGCTCTGCTGCTGGCTCTATACCTCCATTACAGAGAAGAGTATAGACTAAAGACTCAGTGTGGACTAATGTATTGAGGTTATGTAAACTTGAACTACCATGATAATTAAATGCTGTCAGGAGAAAATATAGGAGGACAGTTGTTTAGGATCCATGAGGCTTAAATGTGTTGCCATTGGCAAAGAAAAAGAAAAGAATTGTTCATTTTAGAGATGTAGCTGTAAAACTTAGCGGAAGAAAAGTGCTTTCTAAAGGGATTTGCCTTTTCTCTTTTGCTTGTCGGTGTCATACAATACCAGTCCTTCCTCAGCTGACACATTAGCTGTTTCCTATTCTATTTCTTTTGGAAAGAAAAAGGTTGGGCTGTTTTTTAGGAGTGGTAGGAAGATAAATTTTATAACCAAATGACCCCTAAGAGAGTACTGATCATGCTAAATATATCTATTTAAGATTTCTCACAAATCACAGAAATCTGGCAATTAAAAACTTTTTGTTTGAATATTCACAAAAGGCAAAGAGTTCTCCTGTGTAACTACATACTTCTGTTATGTTTGTAATTGTCTATATGCATTTTTCATTACTAGGATTTTCCTTGCCATGTAGGATGTACAAGGTAGCCAGCACAGAACCACTAATCACCCACATTTCTTGGCCTAATGGCTGGTTAGCAGAAAGTCTGCTGAGAATGACACTCAAAGTTTAAATTGGAATTATCAAGGGCCAGAGGTCTTGGGCAAGAGTTCCAGCTTCAGAGCCTTACAATATATCTTGGAACCCATATCCATCTCCTCAGCAGCAGCAGATAGATGCTGCTGTGAGAGCATACACATCAAAAGGCAAACCTGATAGTTGGCCAAAACCATGAATGGAGGAACTGCAATTATGTGGACTGTGTTTGAAATACAAGATTAGTGTGAAAGTGTGAAATACAAGATCAGTTCTATAACAAGGAGAAGGAGTGGGTGATTGTGTAACAGGCAGTCTTATTTACTGTAGTGAAGTTTGGGACTAAAGGTGATAATCATTTACAGATGAGGCATTTTTGGTTTGCTTCCTAATTGGATGTAGTATCAGATAATCAGATACTGAGGTTTTGTCTTCATTTCTACTATGATCTTTAAAACTCTGTTGAAAGCTTTTTAGGCACACTATCTTTTCAACTGTAAAAGAATATTACTTGCTTCTAATTATTTGTTGTTCTTTGTCACTATGCATCATAAAAATCATGTAGTCTCACTTCTACATCAGCATTTATAGTATGAAGATTCTAGTGAAAAATAATGCACAGTATTTTAAACTGCAGTCTGTCTGAAGTTACTTCATTTGCCTGTATATCAGCAGTTCAATTTATCTGAGTGATTAAAACTAATATTGTCCATTGAACTAGTATTTACTTTTAAATAATTAAATATGTAAAGTGAATTATTTCTATTTCAGTAGAAATCGATTCAATAAAAATGCATTTGCTTTTAGCACTTTCACAGAAAGTAATCCTCTGAAATTCTTGTGTGATAGAAAGAAAAACAAGCAAATTTCCCATGTATATATTTCCACACAGTTGGATATCATTGCTTCTCCTATAGATAAACCAAAATAACAAGAGTAGCTGCTTATGAGTGCCTAAAGGTATTAACACTTTAAAGTGTGCAAGCTCATGTTATGTCACACCATTAATCTTTTAAAATGTCATCTCCTCTGATTTTTATACAATGTGTTTATAATATGTTATGATAAAGAATAAACATATCAGCAATTTAATTCCTTGACTCTTAAAGGCTTTGGAGAGAGTTGCAGTTGGCCAAATGGTAAGTAATACTATTTATTTTAGCCATTCTAAGATAAAATGTGGTTTTCCCCCTTGAATGTTCTTAATCCATGGCCTTTTATTGAACTTCTGCATATCTGGAGTCTGAAATACTGGCCTACGCTATGTCAAATCCTGATAGATAGCATGTGTCATCATGAAATCACATTTTTATTGCTTGCTTATACTTAGTGAATCTGTTTTCCTTTGACAATTAAGAGTCTGGAAAAAAAAAGCACATCTTAAAATTTAAGGCATTAAACTATCCTTCCTAACTTCCTTTGCTATCTTTCAGCTAATGCATAAATTCAGTGCAAATGTCCTTCTGATATCCCTGGTTTGGATCACTCTATCACAATGTTTTATCAACTAAGTAAAAATAGACATTGTTATGACAAAAGCTTGAACTTGTTAGAAACATCATAATTCTCATTTTTAATCCATGTAGAGGATTAAAATATTATACATTAAAAATATATAATATTTTAAATAATAATAAATAGTAATAAAATAATAAATATTTTTAAATTTTTTGATTTACTGTTGTGCAGTTATCCTTAAGGGATGGTTGGCACCAACTGTGCAAGTATTTAAAAGGCCAGGCTGAGACATTTCTTTCCATATTTATTAAGCCCACTGTCTTTTTCTATGTATTTTTAATTGGCAGTCATTAACTGGTTTTATGCAAACATATTTTTCATAGACAAATATATGAAATTCATAGTATTTTTTTTTTGGCATAATACTTTCTGCATGGTTCAGACTACAGTCTGACCACAGATGATTCAGCTAGGTAATTACTCCTTTTGTCTTCAAAACAACTTAGATAATTGTTGTTTATTTTGCATATTAGAATTCAGATCGTGAACAGTGTGTTTTTGTCTGTTGTCTTTCTTTCCATAAAAAATGTCTGGGGTTTTTGTTTTCTTTCTTGCATTTATGGTTATATTAGAAGCTGAGTTAAAAACATAATTTTAACTGGATGCAAGAAAATTAATAAATTGTCCTCTTAAGTCTGGTATGACTGATCATAAAGTATACAATTCAATAAACAGTTAGGGAAGCCAATACTTGTTTTGTTACTCTGATCTTAATTTCAGTGCCAATTTTAAATCCTTGCCATTGTAAAATTTTTTGCAGCTGCCTACAGAATCATTGTTTTATCGAGCTGTTCTTCAGGTTATTGTAGAAGAAATTTATGGAGTCACCAAAAGGTAGTAAGCTCTGAATTCACAAAATACCAGCTAAAGACTGATCTGATTCTCTTTCATCTCTGTGCTATAGAGAAAGTATATTTTAGAAAGCAGAAGGAATGTCAGAATCAGTCTTACCAGGTTGTATATACACATCGGTATTAAAATGCAAGATAGATTTGCTCACCCTCCAGCCACATCAAAAATGTATTGCCCTTCCTTTACATGTGGCTGAAATAGGACCTCTTTGGTACTGGGTACGTGGGTAAAGCACATCTTCACCTGAGAATACTCAGCAAATGCACTGAAAAGAACGCAGGCCTGGGCTACCCTGTCATGCAACGGTCCTGGCAGCTTTGATACTGCAGATGGAAAAAGGCATTTCTGTTTGTCCTGAGAAAAACTGCTGACAGCTCGATGGCCATCATTGCTCTAAAGAGCTACTCACTGCAGTGCCTACGCTGGCAAATGCTGCTTGCTTGTAGGAATGGGATTTGGAGAGCTGCTGCTGAGGACCTGACATCTACATTATACTCTTCTGTGGTTGCAGTTGGATTAAATTTTCTCTTATTCTGTGGGATGTATGCCTGTTAGCACTTGGAGCACATCCAGAAGCACACCTTTCAGTTTAATTTAGTTTGAAAAGAACCTCTTTTCGAGCTCTGATACTATTTCACGGTGTGAGCCAAGGCATGAGAGGTGGGGAAAACCAGAAAATTCGCTTCAGAAGTATACTCCTGATCTAAAATAAGTGCTAATGCAAATACCCTTAAAACTTTTGTTGAATGTCGAGTCAGACAGCTTTCCCTTCAGCAGGTCAAATTCCAGAAAAAAGAAATGCTTCTTTGTTTTAAAATTGCAGAAAATATCACACAAAAAGTCATGGCTGCTAAATTAAAAACAAAAGGAAAACTGTGAGGTAGATTTTTCAGTTTTTGAAGGAAGTATAATTTGGAGGAATTAATTAAGATTATATGTCTGTAATGAACACAATGGCTCTCTTGGAAAGACCTGCCTCACCCCCACTATTTTTTTTTTTTACTGAGCAAGATGTTAAATGCCCATCTTTGTAGGAACGATGTAACAACACACTCATTTACTGATTCTCAGGCTGCATCAGCCTAGATGCATTTGAATATTAAATATGACAGCAGAAAATATTCTCAATGAGTGAGGGTTCTTGACAGTTAAACAGCATTAGTACTACCACTGAGTGAAATCTTTTGAAATCTTTCTGTTGACTACAGATGTTCGTTTGGATTTTAGGAAATAGGAGATAGGTTTTACTAAGAATTAAGAGGGAGAAAAGTTTTAAACTAAGATACTTCTATTCAGTTTTTCACTGGGAGGGTGTGGGGAAACTATATTTCTTGTTAAGTAATTCAGTAGCTGAACATTCTGTACCTGAATATTTAATTCTTACTCTGCACATATAGAAGAGAAATAATGTTAGATTCAGTCAAGAAAGTGAATTCAGACTAAAAGAAACTTCGTTTGTTGTTTCTCCAAGATATTTTAAGCACAGAGAACAAATATGAGTGGTCTACTAGGATTCATCTTTCCTATATGGTTTTTTTTAAGTTTTTGTGCATTATTTTAGTGTATTTTTTTAAAAAAACACACATTTTTGTCTAGCTTGAAATGCAGGCTATTGAACTGTGAACAGGACAGAATTCTGGCACCATTTAATGACATAAAAATTGAAAGGATAAGAACACCAGGTAACAAGCAAAAGTGGCATTTGCTCAGTCCAGTGGTTGCTGTTAAATAAATTACAGCAGCATCATGGTAGATTATGGAAGTAATATAGAAGTATAGAAGGAAATGTCTATCATTGGAAATAATAATTCTTTCATTCATATAAGGAAATAGAAATGTTAGTGAAGAAATTAAAAATAAACTTCAACTACTTCTCAAAATTTTAGGTAAAATAATATCTGTATTATAACCATAATACAATTACCATTGCTGTGTCTAGAAGTTACTTCAAGTATTAGCTAGATAATTTTAAGTGGAAGGGGGAAAAGGAGAGTTGTTACTAACTTGGCAGTAGTAGCCATCCAACTGATTTATTTCTTTTGATAAAAATATCTGAATTTTGTTGTTGGATGTATAAAAGCCTATACCTCAGTACTGTATTTGCAGTGATCGACATGTTGGAAAAACCTTCTCCAAATCATCCTCCTTCGTAGATTATGTCAGACGGTCTCTGAAAAAGTTGGAACTGGATGATTCAAAGGTGAGTCGCTTAATTAGTGACTATATGAAATTGTTATATCCATGTAAGTTCTCAAGTCAGGACCAAAATGCAATGTTGGAGCCATTGAGTTGATTTATGTCATATATTGCTATATGAATATTATGTTTGAAGACTTAATACCTTTAAGTTAGTAAATGTTAAGGAAACAGATGAAGATTTTAAATCACTTTGTTAGATAGAGAAAAAGAAGTAAATATAAAGTAGAGATTTAAAATAATATTGAGATTTTGTGTTCTTGAGTATCATCTTAGTCTAGTCTTACAACTGCTCAATTGGTCAACAGATGGCAACATAGCATTAGGCATGGAATATGACTGTGTGAAGATCACAACAGTGTTGTGAGAACAAGTTGTGCAAAGGAGACAATAGAGAATACTAGACAGGTTGTTAACAAATTAAGTACAATCAAAGGAAAAGTGGGAGTGGCAAGCATGTAAAATATTTAAGGTAAATGTTGTTGCAGTCTTTGGTAATGTTTAAAACCTGTAGTCAAAATGTCAAATCACTTAAAATTTTCCAGGCACATTGAAGCATGAGTTAGGAGAAACAGGCAAAACCAAATAAGTGAGTAAATTCAAATGACATTGGAATCATCCTGACACTGTTAAAAAAAGGACTTATGCCTGAAGTGTGCTGTATTTTAAAGGATTATATTTAATTTTGTAGTTAGCAGATCACATCTAAAGAGTGTAGTTACCTGTTTGCTTTTCTGTATGAATAGGCAGTGACAATTCGCATTCAACCCAGCTAGAGATAAAAATATATCTTTCTTCATGTGTATACAGTCACCCAAAAGCAATAGGGGACTGTTTGTGTAATAATCAGTTCACAAGATCATTGATTGAAGTCTGCTAGTACATATTTGTTCACTGTTTTCTTTAAAACCAGTAAGCATAGAAAGTTTGTGTCAAGAGGTCTGATTTTAGATATGTTGCCTTTTGCTAAGAAGGGTCTGGACAAATGCAAGTTGCCCTGAGACAAAGATGTCTGTCAACACTGCTTCAAGTGGCACATTTATGTGGTTGCTAAAAACCCGATTCAAATAAATGCTTACTTTTGCTCATGTTTCTCCTCATTTTATGTGCAGCTGGCTGCATACTGAAGACTGGATTTTATGCTGATGTAAACAATATTATTCTTTATTTCCTAGCTATATTGAAATCTGCAGCAGCACAAAACCAGTGCTATTTTGATACTACTGAGAGGAAAGTTGTTACTGCTCCCTTAACAGTGGTTCTGACCCTGCAGTTTTCATGGTGGAGTCAGCACTGTATCTACACAATATTGGAGAATATGTTAAATGCCTCTCTTCAGAAAAAAAAATACTTACATAGCTAGAAATGTGATGAAGTCTAAACATTTGTTCTGAAAGACAACAAAATCAAAGATAAATTTATGTGGACTTTTTTTAGCTCTATTTAGAAATGAACAAAAGAGCAGCTGTACTGCATAGACCAAATGTCTACTTTGTCTCTGGCAGTGGACAAAAACTGATGCATTGGGAAGAATATAAGGTGAGATTCCAGAGTAATCCAAAATGTTCTTGTCATTCACAAAAAAAAAAAAAGGGAGGCAATCATTTTGTTAATGCATAAATATGTTTAAATTATATTTAGAAAGCAGCTAAAACTTAGTGACATTGTGGAATACAACCAGAGAACTATGAGAAAAAATTGTTTCCATATGGGTCTCTGTTTCACATGTGCAAAGATATTTTCTAAAATACAGAAGTCAAGAAACTGTGAGTCTCCAGTCTTTTAGTAAGCTTATCAGAAGATTAAAAAGAATTTCATCTCTGTATGATAATAAAAGTACTGGAAAGGAAAATAGAGGAAAATAGAGGCACTGTTTCTAGGAATCCCTGCCAGGGTTTGGTAGCTTGTCATGTATGGTAAAATCTTGCATGGTTTTTATCACTGTAGCTGAACCTGTACTGTGAGATGTAAACACTCTTCCAAACGTAATGGTTCATGATAAGCCTCGCAGCTGCTTCCTTTATACACACCAATACTTCTGTTTCTGATCAAAAGGTAGCCCTGGGGCAATCCAGTCATTTTCAAGTCAGGACAATTGTGGAGGCAGGATAAAGGGTGCAAGTATATAAAGCACCTAACTTGCCTTGATACTCATTTTTGTAAATGTGTGCCTTTTGCTAAATATTACACTGATGAAGACTCATCATGGATACATACTAAAACAGTATTTTGTTCCTGATTATTTTCTTTGTCATAGTTCACTCTGTTCCTATAGACTCTGCATTGTACAGACAGAGCATTCAGGGTCACATAGATTTTGGAGAAATTCTTTCTGTTACACAAGATTTCTTTTTCCTTTTGTTCATCATTTTACCTAATTAAGGTGAATGAGGATCTCTCTTTTGGGAGAATGGAGCATTCATCCCTGTCCTTTCTCCTAGGGTAGCTGGCCCCTCTGATACTTGTTGCTTTTTTGCTTTCAAGCAGCGAGTGCAATTCCTTCTCTTCAGCTCAGAACATGTTTCAGCTGTTTGTAGCTGCTTTGCAAATGCATTTAAGAGGAAGCCTCTTTATTAACAGATCTGATTGCTGCTTAAGGCAATAAGTGCTACAAATAGCACTTATATAAAGACTTATTGCCAAGGCAAAAAGTCTTCATATAAGTATATATGTATTTTCTAGAGTTTTTCAGAAAGAAAATTAAAAACTCTAGGTTTCCTGGTGTCGTGTTCTTACTGGGGTAGATTAGCAAAAGATCTTTTATACGGGCTAGCTTAAGGCAATTAAATGGAGAATGTGTTTACAAAGATAAGGCCTGGGTATGTGTCTGACAGCCTTTGGCATCTGTTGACCTGGTACTTCTGCAAACTCTGGACTATTTAATTTTGAGTGTTAAAACTGGTAGACAATACTGAAATCAGAATTTGTGCAAAAATACTTTTTTTTTTTTTTTTTGCTAATTGCTTATTTTTTTTATTAGACAAGTTTGGGTTTTTTTAATATTTGATAAGTGGGTTACTCTTAGCTTACTGTAGACTGTCCTTGACTTGTAAATTTTCCTCATCAGTGACTAGTGGAATATCATAAAATGCAGTTTGCAAATAAAGGGAGATAACATGAAGCTTACTGTGTGGCTTAATTTTCTCTTGCTTTAAAAAGAGTTGGAAAAACACTCACTTAAGACTGGGAAACCGTCAGTAGTGGAATTGTGCAATACATTAACACATGAACTAACCTAAATATATGCAGCTATACTGGGAACTAACAAGAATTTTTGCAAGAAATGGGGAAGAGAGGGACTTTTAGCCTGAGATTTCTTATGATTTTAATGTCTACCCCACAGCCAGTGTCTGTGGATATCTTGAAATGTCAGTGAATGAAGGAGTCAAAGCCAAAACAATGCTCTCTCCACTTTCCCCTGAATCCTGAAACAGCAATTAACTGAGACAGTCAAAGCAGTCAAAAAATGAAGGTACTACATGGATTTACACACTTAATGCATTTTACAATTGTTGAAGAGTTGACTTTGCTGTTTTCTTGGACAGAAGGAATTTCATCTCACAGACTTCCTGTTTCCTTTGTTAGTTAGGGAAGTACTAAATGACAGCTCAGGTAATACATGCATAGCACTCTATAAAGTGTAAGCACATAATGCTGTTTTTAAGCATAGCTGTTTTTCACATAGACAAAATACTATCCCAGTTATGGTACTGTAGCATTTTACTCTGACAAGGAGTCCTAAGAGATGTGACTTGTATCTCAATTAGGTATAATTATAAATAATATAGATTCCATTAATTTGAAATACATTTTAAACAAAGTTCTAAATAAATCTCTCAGTAATTTCATTATCTGTTTTACATTATTTTACAGTATATAAGATTACATTATTTTTAACTACATTAGTCTTGGAAAAGTTTTAAAATTTTCTGTTAGCTATGTTCTCCTAAATGTTTTGAACTGATCTAAGACACTGCTCTGCTAGAAGGATTGCCTTGCAGTTTTCTTGTACTCTCATTAGCGTTCCTGATAGTGCTGGTACAAGTAAAGAGAGGAAACATGGAATTGTGCAGTCAGTGCAGGAAGAAGCAGTCCCTTTGAGGTAGCAAAGAGGAATTGCATCTAACAGACTGTGGAACAGCATCCTTAGGCTGTCTCTTCTCTGGTGGACATGTGCAGCGTTGGACGGTAAAAGAGACTTTCATTCAGTGAAAGTACTCTTAGCCTAGGAAAGGATACAGCGCTGAAAAAATCCTCTCTAAAGAAACGTGAAGTGTAGTATCAGTAATTGCCCCACACCTTGTGCCTGAATATTTTCTTTTCAGCCTGTGCTCTGTCAGCATGCCTGTGGGACTGCAGCCCAAGGTGAGTGTGCTCAGGTGTGTGGTATCTCACGTGCTCTCAGAGCTCTGTGACAGTCTCACTGTGTTCACAACAGATCAGTCAGCCCTATAGCTCATGTTTAGTGCCATCTCCACCATATGGTATTTATGGTATATATGTTATACCTATATGGTATTGTTACAACTAGGTCACTGGAGACCTTGCCAAGTCCTCTTGCTTGTTCCTGCGGTTTGTGACCACATCAGTCCACAAAGAAATCAGTTCAAAATACAGCTTGCATCACCATCACAGTGCAAAGAGAGACAAGGTCCTTTTGTAGACAATCTGATAAAGACCAGAAGACATTGTAGCTGTATCAAGGAAGAAATACTGGCCAAAATGAAATGAAGGTCACTTCAGTGTCAGTAACATAAGCTAGATCTTGGAGTGCAGAGTCATTATTAAGATAAATGTATATATTTGAGTTTTTTTCATGTTCATAGTATTAACATCAAAATGTAAGAAAAATGTTCAGTGCATATATATGAAGAATTCTTTTTGATATACAAGTGAGTGACAACACAGAGAACAGTTGCTTGGACAACTTTGGTGGCTGAATGGGCTTGCTTTGCATGTGGAAGTACAATTCTTCAAAAATACCATGAATAAACTACTCCTACTTCACCCTGGAAGGAGGGCTGAAGTTTGTGTTAGGTACCGAAGGCAGGTGGAAAGCTGTTGCAGTTTCAGACAAAGCCAATTTTATCTGGATTTTAGTTGTCTTCCAATAAATTGACCACATGGCTGGCTACCAGTTACCCTTTTCATGCCCTTCTCTAACAGTGCTTTTCAATGGACACTTTCTCTCTTTCGCAGTTGAGCTGTTGCACTGAACTGGTTTGCTCACCAAACTTATCTGAGGCACAGTTTGGAATAGTACCTAGTCTATCCATGACAGCAGGATGTGTGCAGTCAGAATGTGCAATAGGCAGGAAGGAAAAGCACATACTTGAGTATGGCAGTGTGCAATAGACATTTTTGACCCACTTTTTATTTGCCAAACATGTCACAGCTTGTTTTCTTTTAATTTGAATGCTTCATCTTGAAAAATGGAGAACATAAAGGAAGCAAAAGCCGAAAGGTTTCAGGATCACATTTTTCCAAATATAGATCTTTGTATTTTAATGCCAAATAGCCTGTAATTTCAAAAATCCATTATACTAAACCCCTATTAATACTCAGTTGAAATGAAAAGCTTATAGGGCAGAGATTAAATAAACAATTTTGTTTATTTAATGACCGATATATTTTAGTTGTTTTGACTGTTTAGAGGGGAAGAGAAAAACAAAAAGAACTCTATAATATTTGCACAGCTTCACAGGAAATAAAATAATAAGACCAAAAAAATTCTTGTTAGTCTACATTAGTACTGCTGGATAAGCTACTCAACCTTGCCTTTGCAGTTGGGAAAATGTACTTTCTAAATTAAAAAAATATGACTGAAATACTACAAAATATTTTTCTGATAATCTTGTTTTAAAGCAGAATTAGAATTATGCATCATTCCTGAAAATAGTATTTGTCAGATTTTCTAAAAGCTTTCAGTGATGGAGCCTGACAAACTTCAAGTCCTTAATTAACCTCTATGAGAAAATGTTTCTTCAAGTTTTTGGCTGACTGGTTTTTTTTTTCTTTTTCTGCAATTCAAGCCCATTAGTTCTTACCCATCCACTACAGACACAGTGAACAAACTGTTCCCTACTTCTTGGTGATAGCCTTGTAAAAACAGTTATTATCCCCTCTCTCAATTTTGTCTCATTTAGCCTGATCAGTTCCAGTTCTCTGAGTCTTTCTTCATAGGTCATATTTTCTAGATCTCTGATCTATTTTCCCTCTCAGGGCTTTTTCAGACAGTTCATTTCTTTCTTTGAAATCTGATGCCCAAAAAAGGATGCAGTGTTCCTGCTAGAGCTTTTCCACTGCCAGAGTTGAAGGATTACTTCCTGCACTTTGCAGGCTGCTCTCCCATACATGTCACAGAATGGTGATTGGTTTTGTTTATTTTTTTGCAGTAGCACAACTGTGACTCTCACTCAGCTTATGATCTGCTCTGTCTTCCAGACTTTCATTTGGTGCTCCCCATCCTGAACAGCTGATCATTTCTGCCTGAGCCTAGTCCCTTGTCTTCTGCACAGCATTTCAAACTTCTCTAAGTAATGCTCCAGTTTCTGAAAGTTATTTTAAGTTCTGGCAATGCCTTCCTGTTGCACATTTGCAGACTTAGCAAATGTGGTTTCTGTTCTATTGTCTGAATTCTTAATGAAAATACTGCATTGCGTAATGGACCTCCAGTCAGCAGGTCATTCCAGTTGCTCAGACCCATTAGAAACCACTTTCTGGTTATGGTCATTCAAACAGTTTTTGCTGACTTTTTAGTACTTTAATCTGAAGCTTGTTTCCTAAATTTTCTTATGAAATTATTATGGGAAATGTTATCAAAAATATTTTTGAAATCAAAATATATGAGAACCAGTTGGTTTTGTCTGTCATTAATCCTTTTACTCTCCTTACAAGTGAAATAGACTGACTTGTGATTTATACTTGATGAATTTGTCTTGATTATTGCTCATTTGCTTATCTTTAAGTGGTTTTAAATGCTTTATTTTTTTCCATTTTTTCAGTGCATTGGATGTGAACTGTCTGTTCTATAATAAAAGATATATATCTGCTATCTGTCTGACATATTCTCTTTGAGAACTTCTCAGTAACAATGAGTAATAGTTCTGAGGTCACTTCAGTCCCTTCTTGGCTGTCCCAGGATAAAGTTCATAATATGCACCTGATTTGAAAATTAATGATTTTTTAAATGTTTCCTGGGTTGTTTCCCTATTTCAGACAAAGATTTTACTTCTTTGCAACTGTATTAGCCACATGCTCTCAGATGATACTTCTAATAAACTGTGCAAAATTTTATTAAGCACTTCAGCTTTCCTAGTCTTTTGTCATAGAGTAATAGAATCTTTTAGGCTGAAAAATGCTTCTAAGATAATCAATTCCAACTGTTAACTCAGCACTGCGAGTCTACCACTAAGCCATGTTCCTCAGTGCCACATCTACATGTTTGTCAGAGCCATTGCTTTTCTGCTAAGTTTGGACTCTCATTCCATAGCCACGACAAAACAGCCATACTGCAAAACTCCCAGTACTGCATAAGTGCATCAGGTTCTTCCAGCTCTGTTCTTCCTAGCAGCCTCCATCAGCAATAATGCTGCAATCCTACTTCCCACTTCTTTGGCCAGCTTAAGTGTGTTGTTCAGTGTCCAAGACTGTGGTCAGCACAGCAGACAAATCATGACCTTCAAAAACCAGGAGATGTGGTGGTCTGGCTGCCCTATAAGAAAGCATCCTTTGTGAGGAGCAGTCATGGTCACAGCTGCAGCACCTGCTCTGCTGCACTGGCCAGCAAGAGTTGAAAAGGCTTGTTCAAGTTCCTGAACTGCATGTATATCAAATTCTGCCCCAAATTGTGGCATTTACAGTCACAGAGGCAGTGCTGGCCACTCTCCACTTACCTGTGTAATTCTCATTTAAGAATGACTGGACTTTTCTGAATAATGGATATATCTCAGTATTTCATGTCAGTGGAAAATGTTGTGTGAAGAACAGTTGCTGTAAATAAGAAGTTAAAAGCTGCTATTGGAAAACTACTACAAATCTTAGCACTAATTTCAAAAATGAAACACAGATTTCATTTTGTAGTGTGACAATATTTAATTCTAAAGTTCCCTTTAAAAAGTAAGTAGAATAACTCTGATATCTCTTTTTTTAATCCCTTGCAGCTCCCAGACAGCTGTATAATGGATTACTATGAAAAGTACAAGCACAGAATGAACGAGCTTGAAGCATTTAATATGGTAAAAGTTAAAAGATTAATACTACTACCTTGTATATATATATATGCTAGTCTAGAACAAAGCGCTGTTAAGTTTTATGTGGGGGTGGACTGTCTTACACTGTGGTATGCAATCTCAAAAACAAAGCAGTTCCCCCTTCCATACTTTGGAGCGTATCCTATTCCAGAATTATATTAGGTGTAAGTAAAGTAATAAAGTGAACACATGGAAGATTCTTTTTCAAGAGGGACTATTGCACTGGAAAATGGAATGTCAGTCTCCTTTTAAATCTAGACTGGTCTCCATGCAGTGATTTTATAAAAACCTTTTTTTATTAAAATTCATTATTTCCCTCTTTAAAATTGTTCTGCTACATTTAATATTATTTTCTTGTTGGACAATATCTGAAAAACAACTAAATAACATAGTTCCCTGACTTTATGGCATTCCATGTATTTTTGATCTTTAATATAATCTGTTTTGAAGATGTCTGTCCCAAAGGGAAAACTAGTAAGGCAACATTTGTACAACAGAACCCCTAAAAAATGATTGACCTTCCTGGAATTGTTGTGAGGATATGTAGCCATTTGGAAGTGTATTGCCTGTCTTTCCCAAAAGGATTATATAGCATCTAATCTTTCTTTCAGTTGAAGGTTGTTCTGGCTCCTTGCATAGAAGTTTTGATACTTCTGGATCGTCTTTGCTACCTCAAGGAGCAGGTATTTTTGCATTCTCTTTTATGATACCTAAAGGCTACATCACTGAAATGAGGCTATTTCAGTCAATTTATTACTCTGCAGACCAAAAGTCTCTGTTGCAGAATTATTATTCTCATCATATTTGCAAAAGTATAAGCATTCATTCCATTTAGTATAAACATATGCCCAGCAGATGTTTTTATTTTCAACAAAGCAGCAACAGTAAAGTTTATGCTCTTTTAATTGTATGGTAATTACTAGTCAATAGATAGTAAAAAATAAATTAATCAAAGATGCATCAAATCCCATTTCATACAACATCATGAGATATTTAATAATTTTAAAAATTTTGGAAACGCTAAACAAATACTGTGTTGTTACTACTCAAACTTTCAATTAATGTGCTTTGGAACATAAAATTCAAAAAATATTGAATTAGATCCAAAATGTTTATGACTTTCTTTTACTGTTTCTTAATTAGGATCAATAGTGAGAGAGGGTGCACTTTTTCTAACTGTATGGGTCAGCTGAGATACATTTGACTAACACACAGCCTGGATATATTTTACAAGTATAGATCTAGGATATAATAAGCAAATGCTACTACATTTACTCCACTATGACTTCCACTATTAGACAGTTTCTTCTAACACTGATTTGTAGTTTGGCCTGGTTAACGTGAAAGCACTGGTAATACTTTTTCTGCACCTATAAACATTTTTCACACAACTAGTAACTTCCTAGGAGGAATTGGTACCATCTTCCAGCTTCTGTTCTGGGCCATGGTAAAAATAAAATTTTAAAATAAAGTTTAAACGCATTCCTATGAATAGCTGTGTTTTCCACTATAAACCTTTCATTTTAACAGCTCCATTTTATCATAAGTGAAAACTCACTTTATTCTCTGTCATGGTACACGTGGAACAACTGAATTGTAGTAAATGTATGTCTTTGTTCTAACTGGTATTTTTACAGAGAGGCAATGTGAAATAGATAAATACTGATATATTTTACTAAATGCCAACCAGTTAAAAACTGCGTAGAAATCTGTATGATTTCCAAGATGGGAGATCAAACTTTCTGCCTATATCACTAAATCACCTTTTCTAAATGTAATATATGCGTGTATTTAATCTTGTACTGAATGATTCACAAAATGTGTTTAGGAAGAAAAATAAAAGTTATAAAAGCCAAATGCAGCATGATGACCAGATCCAGCCAGCCTGATTCATTTGATAAGTCAGTTAATTATCTTCAGTAGTAGAATGTGCAACATAAAATGAGTATGACATGATCCTTAATTTCTTTGCTCTAGTTCAACCAAACAGCAAAGGTTTATTGATTAAGCAGGTGGGAAGCTATCACTTGATAGCACTTGATAGAAATAATTAAATTACTCTAAAATTGATCCTATTATGGACATTTTTTTTCACAACAAAATTTCCTCCCAGTTCCTTATTAGATAAGTGGTTTTCCTGCTTTGCATTAGGATAATTCTATTTATTTTCAATTTTGTATTTCAAAATGTGGACCTATTACAATACTTTAGCTTATAAGTCAAGCAAATTTTTATGTACTTCAATTGTATATCATTTTCAGGA